TATTATAATTGGTTTTATCACTCTGTTTCCTCTCCACCAATCAGCTGATGTGTGGTGTGCGTTCTGGTGCATTATGGCTGCCTTCCTGTCATCCAGGTGGATGATGCAAACTGTTGTTGGATGAGGAGACCCCCCCCCCCAAAAAAAAAAAGTATAAATTGCTTTGAGTGTCCAGAAAAACGCAATATAAATGTAAGGAATTATTATTATTATTATTATTATTATTATTATTATTATTATTATTATTAATAATAATAATAATAATAATAATAATAATAATAATAGTTGTTGTTGCTGTTGTTGTTATTATTATTATTATTATTATTATTATTATTATTATTATTATTATTATTATTATTATTATTATAGGTGAACAATTAATCTGTGCAACTTAATCCACTGAAAAAACAAAAACAAAAAACCATACTTAACATTAGTGAAATTTCTCCCATTTCTGAATTTTCTATGCGCACACAGGCTGATGGGCCATCTAATCTGCTCCTGCGTCATTAACTATATGGAGCAGGAGATTGGTTGCTGTCACCTTGGCAGCCAATGAGCTTGCCCCTCAATAATTTAAATGATCCTTGCTATTTTACTCTGTCAAGCTGCGGCGTGTTATCAGAGACACTCCCCCACCCCAGCTCCACCTGTGTTTAGATCTGCTACAGGGGTTACATACATACTACAGTATGTTTGCAGCAGCAGCAGCATGTTAAATTCTTAGACTGAGGGCATAGCAAGTCTCGGTAAGTCTCGGTACCATAATAATCAGAGTAGCAGATCTATACCGCCAAGACCAAATACATTAACATTGTCATATACATATTCATTATCATACTAAATCCAGGTTGTTCATGACAGAAATCCAGATATTTAATGTTTCTTGAACAGCAAATTGTGACACTGAAGACCGTAATGACTGCTGTAAATTCTGCTTTCTTCTTAATATTACATTTTTTCTGCACTTTTTAAACTTACTATATTCTAAAAATCATATTGACCCTGAACTTTTAAAAAAGAACCACACTGTACCTCTTTTTAATTATATTACTTTCTTTTTAAACGATCAAAAACCATTCAGGCTGTTTCATATTCCCTTTCAAACAGTTCTAGCTCAAGTACATCAGTTCATCCTGCAGTCACTGCCTAAACCGTCACATCAACTACCACCTGCTGTGCTGTTACTCCAGTATAACCTGCTGCTCTTATGTTCAAGAGCACTTTTTTTCTTCCCTTTCAAGACTGTTTTGTAAATAATAATTCCTGAAATAGCTGCTCTGTTACTGTTTTGCTTAAATCCTAGTTTTAACACCCCCTCCCTGACCCACACAAAACCGATATACAGATCTGCTCCTCAGTGTCAGAGGTTTTGTTTCTAGTGACACAAAGCGAAGCTCGCACACTCTAAAAAAAAATTCCGTAAAAAAACGGTAAAATGTACTGGCAGCTCATTACACAAATATTTTACCGTAAATTAAAAACGGAAAACTTCTGTTAATTGACAGTGTGTCCACATTAAAAAAACTAAAAAATATCAGTTTTTTGACGGTTAAACTACTGTAAAATAACGAACCATTTTATAGTAATTTAAGGGTTTTCTATATAAAAAAACGGTTATTTTCTGTGTTTTTAAGGGTATGCCAACAGTAAAAAAGCGGAACTATTTTGTGTTTTAATAGTATACCTACTGTAAAAAAACAGACAGATTCTGTGTTTTAATAGTATACCTACTGTAAAAAAACAGACAGATTCTGTGTTTTAATAGTATACCTACTGTAAAAAAACAGACAGATTCTGTGTTTTAATAGTATACCTACTGTAAAAAAACAGACAGATTCTGTGTTTTAATAGTATACCTACTGTAAAAAAACAGACAGATTCTGTGTTTTAATAGTATACCTACTGTAAAAAAACAGACAGATTCTGTGTTTTAATAGTATACCTACTGTAAAAAAACAGACAGATTCTGTGTTTTAATTGTATACCTACTGTAAAAAGAGGACTTTTTTGTTTTTTAATAGTATATATACAGTGAAAAAATGAACAGATTCTTTGTTTTAATGGGATACCTACTGTAAAAAAAATATTATTTTACTAATTTAATGCTCTTCAAGCAGCATAGAAATAGCAGTTGGTAAGGATAAACCTATACATATGGGAAATACACTATTAATGGTTTACCACAGTAAAACAAAACATGTATTCCATACTGTATGTGTAGAGAAGCAGTAAATAGTTTGTTAACTGTGAACTTACAATGATTAGTACAAAAACAACTTTGCAATTAAAACAGATTCTTTAATGAATACAAATCATTTGAATTCCAAATAGCAAGTTATACACACAATAAATACATATTGACATGTGAATCACACAGTGAGAGGTCTTGGCAAATAATCTCAAAGCAAATTAGTTTTAAATGTTAGCTTTAAGATAATTGAGGACAAGTGGGCAAATTACAAGTACTTTACATTAAGAAACCAGGTTAACTGCAAGATGGCAGGAAACAGACGATACAACTGGGTCTTCTTCCGCTCCAATACTGATACTTCAATGGTTGTAAAAAAAAAAAAAAAAAAAAAAAAAAAAACATTACTAATGACATTTCACTTACAACTGGGGTAATTCCTTGCATGTCAATAGTTTACACAAATGAAAGTTTTATCATCATCTTCATGTCTCACTCTTGTCATTTCAAGCCTGTCTGACTGACATACTTCAACAGAACAAAATAGGAGAAATAGGAGCAACATTTTTTAAAATATGATATTTTGTGTTTTGCAGAGGAAACAAAGTCATACAGGTTTAAAATGTCAAGAGAGTAGGTAAATTATGAATGATCAATTATTCAGTTTTGGGTGAGAAATCACTTTAAGATTTTTCAAAATAAAGTGTAGGTACTTTTGACAATATTCGGAACAATAATGCAAGAGAGAAACAGTAATATAAACAAACTATGCTGGTAACACTATAATAACTACGGGCTATGATTCATTTATGAAGCATTAGCAAATAGTGAATTCATTATCTGTTAAGCATTAACTCTACATTAATAGATGTTAGCAGTTGGTTATAAATACAGCTGCAAAATTTGCTACAGCTACAGTTTAATAATTGTGTTATCAAACTTAAATGATTGATTTTACATTACTATTTATAGATAAAAAAAAAAAAAAAAAATTATTTATATATTTATATATATATATATATATATATATATATATATATATATATATAATATTATATTTAATATTGCATTATTTACAAAATTTCTTCCAGTTGTGGCCTAATCTAAAGTGAGGATTATTTATGATTTATAAATCCTTATAAACGACAGTTAAACCTTGCTGAATAGCAGGAGTGCCAAAATATAACATAAAACTGGATAAAACAACAATAAAATAATTTAATGATATATTACGATGCAACATTTCAGTGTTATTTAGCTATGTTTAAACTGTACAGTAATTTTATTTTAGATAAGATTTATTTTTCATTTAATACAATAAAATGAATTTCATTTTTAGAATATAACTGAATCTTTAATTGTGATTTATAAGGCGATTTACAAAGCATAAACAATCCTCACTTTAGGCTACAAAACTGGATGAAGTTAACAAAAGCACTTATTAAAATAAGTATTGTATATACTTTATATACTTATTTTTTATACTTTATATACAAGTATAACAATTACTATTCATTCATGTATTTTCCTTCAGCTTAGTGTGTGCTCACACTATGTATAGTTGCCTTGAACCAGGCCGAAGCACTCTTGTCCTCCCTCCCGTCTCCCCTGACGTCCCGCACTCACATTGCATTCGAGCCTGAGCACTCTTACATCATCGATGATGTGCTGTTTAGTTTAGGAAGTGCTCTCAGCACGGAGGAGAATTCTTTAGTTATATTGTTTTAGTCGTTTGGGATGCAGTAACACGCTGTCAAGAATTTCGCCGAACAGATCAGCCACTTTTGATGTTAATAAACAATCATAAACTCCTTGTGCTGCAGGAATAGGAGGTTTGCTAAAGGCGCAGCTGTGGTGCAGTAAGGGGTTTGCGTTCATTGAACAGTAATAGTGGTTAATTTATCCAAATCAAAGTCCCTTGCAAACTGTCATAGATTAAAGACACAAACCCCTCACTGCACAACAGCTGCACCTTTAGCAAACCTCCTAGTACCTGCAGCACGTTGACTTTGATTGTTTATGAGCGTCAAAAGTGGCTGATCTGTTCGGTGAAATATTTGACTGCGTGTCACTGCATATTGAACAACTAAAACGATATAACAATATAAAGAAATCTCCACTGTGCTGAGTGAGAGCACTTGTTAAACTGAACAGTGCGTTATTGATGATGTAAGCATGCTCAGGCTCGAATGCAATGTGAGTGCGGGTCGTCGGGGGAGACAAGCACGCTTCCAGTTTCAAGGCAACTGTGCATAGCATGAGTACGCCCTTGGAAACACCCATACACACATTTACAAACACACTCATACATAACAGCCAATTAAGTTAATCAATTTCCCTATAGCTTATGTCTTTGGACTGTGGGGGAAACCGGAGCACCCGGAGGTCTTCTTGCTGTGAGGCAACAGTGCTAGCCACTGAGCCACTGTGCTGCCCAACTATTACTATATGCCTGAATAATAAGATATATAAATGTTAGTTTAAATAGTTTATTAACCATTTACTTACACATTCTGAATGATTAGAAAAAAAATACACCAACTATTCTTAAATTACTGGTTTGTAAATAATGCTATACTAAATTTAGTAATGAAAAATTAATCATTAACAAAATATAAAAACAAAATCATTAAGCACATTATAGATGTGCTTATAAGTCAAGATTACAGCATTTGCAGCTGTAGTTATAAACTGTATACTAAGGTCTGTTAATGTAGAGTTAAAGCTTAACAGAACTTTTTGCTAATGCTTAATAAATTAATCAATAGTGTTTAGTTATTATAAAGTATTACCGGTTTGCTTAATTACCTTTAAATCTTCCAAGGATTCTGAAAGTCTTTCTGGTCTGACAGGAATCGAAGGAGTTTAGATGGTATGTTTCTGCTTGGTGCACTTTTTTCTGCTATGGACCTACATTCTGGATAGTTACTCAGCATGCTCCTGTTGTAAATACAACAAACATGTATCAACTTACTTGTCTTATAAAAATGAAATAAACTTAAAAATGTAAAACCATACCTTCATATTAACTCCAGAGTCAGGGCTGCTTCCTTAGGCTACATAATGTTTAGCACATAAGAGACTAAACATGTAGCTCACCACAATTAGGGGACAGCTCAATGATCTTGTTATTGTGACTGTGGACTCTTCTTCTGAAAAAAAGAAAAGAAAAGTGAGTTGTGTGTTGGGTCTGGTACTCGTCCACATGGAAAGAACCTATATAAACATATGGTTTAATATAGGTTTTGATTTAGGTTTTTGAAATATGTGACAAATATAAAATTGGCTGTTTTCCTATATTACATGTACATATATGGGTACACATATGCACACCTATATGGTAAATTATTAATATTATTAATAATATTATAAATATTATAATTATTATGTAAAATTATTCAAATACATGTCTGCTACATAATTTAAAAGAAATTAAAAAATATATATTTACTTAATCAAATATTACAAGAAATAATTATAGTGCAAGAACAAAAATAAGGCAAAAAAAAAAACAATAAAGGAAGATGCCCACATTGAAATTGTCTCTCTCATCATCAGGTGGCTAAGAGAGAAAAGAAAAGAGATTCAGCAGTGGACCAGTTATTTCCTTATCACTTTAAACAGACATTACCAAAATAAAGAACTTGTAACATTTCAAATGATGCAAAAATAAATAATAATAATAAATAACTGCTTGGTTCATTTAACAGATTACAGTAGCAGGTTAAAAAACCCAGATAAAACACCCACATCAACCCAGTACTTTTTAGTTTGAATACATGTTAACAAAATTCAAAACTTACTGAAGCAAAATGTGTTCATGTAAACACTTAGTAAAAATATAGGTACAAGTAATTGGTTTGCCAAATAATAAAAATAAAAGCATCAATATCAAACAAAAACCCTGACCATTTTACCTCTTAAACTTGGAAGTTTACTGTCATCCCCTGTATTAGGTACAGATGGTCCAGCACAACTGCCTGAGTTCTGAAAGAGCAAACACATTCTTGGTAAAATGACAATAGATGCAATGCTAAATATAAATCATTTTTTATTTTAATTTTTTGTATTATTTATAAAAATGCAGTACTGACCAGTCAGCATCAATTTTTACACCAACACACCTACAACAAAAATAACACTCATTCAGTTTGAAACATGCAGCACATAGTCTACTTTTATACTTTACAAACTTTGTGGATAATAAAAAAAATTGAAAACATTTAAAACCCCAGCTGTATTTTATTTCATTTGTCCATATTAATTCAAATTCAGTTTGGATTGAATGTAAGATTTAAGATTTTTATTTAGATTGCTGTGAAAATGTACCTGTACCTTGTACTTATAACCAAAATTACAGAACCTGGAAATCAACAAAGCAAAATATCAGTGAACCTTATATGTACAAAACACTTAAAACCAAACAGAAAAAAACGCTGAACATTTTACCTCTTAAACTTCAAAGTTTACCGTCATCTCCTGTATAAGGTACAGAGGGTCCAGCACAACTGCCTGAGTTCTGAAAGAGCAAACACATTCTTGGTAAAATTATAATAGATGCAATGCTAAATATAAATCATTATTGTTATGGTTAAAAATGCAGTACTAACCAGTCAGCATCCATTTTTACACCAACACACCTACAACAAAAATAACACTTATTCAGTTTGAGACAGTCTACATTTAGACTTCACAAACGTTGTGAATAATAAAAAAATGAAAACATTTAAAATCCCAGGTGTATTTTATTTCATTTGTCCGTATTAATTCAAATTCAGTTTGGATTGAATCTAAGAATTTACCTGTAACATGTACTTATAACCAAAATGAAAGAACCTGGAAGTCAACAAAGCAAAATATCAGTGAACCTTATTTGTGCAAATAAAACTCACTTAAAATCTACATAAAAAGATTTCATTTGCGATAGCACCATGTGTAGTTCACTCTATTATCAAGGTTTCATTCAAATAAAACTCCTGATCTCCTAATAGTAAAGAAAGTATTGTTTGCTATAATGAATCGAACTTGACAATTAGTTTGAAGAATTTTAAGACTGTGGAAGAACAACTCATCTTTATATCTTCATATTAGCTGCCCTTGAGGTTCTTAAAAGTGAATAAATAAATATCAATGACAGTTCAACTCGACTACAACAAACATTTAATTGTGTGCTTTAAGGTACACGTTGTATTTGAGGCCGAAAACGCATGACAGTGTAAACACTATAAATACTTTTAAATGTCACACACGTACTGTATCACTCTGTTATCTCTGTACACACAAACACGCGTCGCGAAATGCGGAAGTTTTTTTTTTCGTTCCATTTGGCGAGCGTTGTTAAATTCCATAACATTCTCATCAGTTCTTGCTTCTTATTTGCGTCTATTACCCCAGTTTGTCACGCGGGATGAATGAAATGTTCATGAGTTAAAGTGAAACTGCCGAACTGCAGTTAAATTCAGGCATCCTGCTGATTTGATTCATAAGGGCACTTGTTTGTCAGACGGCTCACCGGTCAGGTATACATCCGCGCTAAAATATCAAAGTATGAAAGTCACCCAGCTCCCAACCCAACGTTGAGAATAGATTAACGGCGATATATTTTTTTTTACCGCGCGATAAGTCTCGCGTTAACGCAGCACGTTAATGCTGATAACGGCCCACCACTAATAAAAACTTTACGAGTGTGTATTTCCCCTCATACCGAGTTACAAATGCCTCCAATTCACGCGAGTCTAACTTATAACTTACTTAAAAACCAGCAAAGCTGTTCCACTGAAACTCGGTCACACAGCCTTAATACGTCGGTCAAACTAAAGCTAACATTTGATAACGTCAGTAAAAATATGAAATTAGTCATTAATATGCAAACAAACACAGACGGTCAGGTGTTACGAGCGTTTGAAACACGTTAACGTTAGTGTTCATTAAAGGTAACGTATATCAACCAAACTACACAGTGACACAAACTTTGAATGCTATCCCTTGTTCAATGCACTGTACAAAGAAAACATTTATATTTCTATAAAATAATTAACATACCTTTTACACTCTTACAGACAAACTGACGTTTACCGTTAATCCAGTCAGGTGCAGAGGGAGTGAGTGGGTGATTGGACGTCACGCCACTTCCCGCGCACGGCAGTTTAGAAAAATACGGACAAACAACTGTAAATGAACAGATATCATATTTACTGATGAGAAAAACGTATAAAAAGGTAAAAAATCATTAGGTAAATGCTTGTTTAAATTACATTTAACCACTCATAGCTCAGTTTGATCTTAATGAAATAAAGTCTGATCTTATTAACAATATTAAACGTAATTCACTGCTGTACTTTCCATGGGCGCTTCATAAAAGACAAAAATCATTTTAAATAACGATAAAAAGGTAATAAAGCAGTCTTTTAACTAAAATGTTGTTATATGTTTTATTAATCGTACTTACCAGGGAAAAAACAGAGGAAGAAATATGTCCCGGTGTCCATCAAACGCTGTCTGAGCTGCGATCCCCTTCCCACAATGCAATTCGAAAATGTATATAAACGGAAAAACACCCGTAATACGTGTATACGGAAAAAATCTGTTAAAATATACAGTCATTTAACTGTTATTTTACAGATTTTTTTTACAGTGCAGTTTTGACGTGGAGCTGAGATCAGACAAAGCGCGTGTGCATGCAGCTTATCTGTCCCAGCAGCCTTTGAGGAACTGCGGCTCTGAGATCATTCAAATGCACTCCAAGTCTGGGAGAAACAGAAAAGAGGAAATATGACCACCGCTGGTGTGGGAGGAAGATAAACAGAGCGCTGTAGACAGCAGACAGGGTTGGGGGTCCAATATCAAAGAAATATAACAAAATGATGCTCGCTGCATGACTGGGAGGAAGAGAGATTGACTAAAGATCTGAACAGTGTTTTAATGAAAGGGTCTGACCAAAATGCACCTTTTACTTGAAACATGCTGTCATTTCTTTCTAGTTTAAACTCACCCTACAGTCATTGATTGATGATCTGAATGACACATTTAAAGTTTTTTTCCAATAAAAAAAATCCTTGTGACTTAAAAAATGACTTGAATAAAACTCTAATCCTCATGTCATTTAGTATGTAGAGAGTTATGAATATGCAAATTAGTCCCCACCGCTACTCAATTACACCAGCTTGGACTACCTGGTCTATTTTTACTTGCTAAAGATATATAAAGTACATAAAGGGGAATTTCAACCAAATTATAAAATTATGCGATAATTTACTCTATAAGTCTATATGTTATTTTGAAGAATGTTAGAAACTTGTAACTATTGATATCCATTCTATGCATGCTATAGAAGCCAATGTTTACAGGTTTTCAACATTGATAAAATATTTTTGTTGATTTACTCAGGAACTGAAGAAGACAAAAACAATTGCTAATAACTTAACATGTTTGAAGATTTCTATTTCAGATATAAACTGTTCTTTAGATATAAACAGTACATAGAGGGAGATTTCAACAAAATGTTGAATATATACTATGAAGCCAATATTTACAGGTTTCTAGCATTATTAAAAATATTTATGTCATTATTTCCAAAAAATATATTTAATATTGATTTATTTGCGTTTAACAGAATATTGATTAAAAAATGGTGTGAACTACCCCTTTAAAGAGTGATAATAATTGATGGAATTCAGCCACATATGGTTGGACTAGAAACTGATACAGAAGAAGAGTGAATTAAATAGGGTCGATGTGTCAGATGTGGTAAAGCGGCTCAACAGTAATTGATATCATTAGCCTTTGACTTGATTATGCTATTAAACAGTGAGTAAGGTGTCACCAATTTAACACACCATATTCCTGTTTGCCATCGCAGAAGCTATCTTTTGAGAAAATTAGAAAGAGTAAAGCCATTTACAAAGTCACACTTGAAACAGAAATTGATGCCATCGTACTTGGTCTGACAGTGTTATCAAGCAGATAATAATGTGTTGCTATTTTCACGAAAAAAAAAAAAAAAAGTCTATTCACTTTCTCAGACTATATCCTTCTAAAAATTCATATCCATCCATAAACCCTCTGAACATCATAAGAAAACAGTACATGAATACATGAAAAGTCCATTGATGGCATGTTTGAGATAAGTGGATTATTAATGCTGTCTTTTGACAAACCACCTGTAAGTAAGACACTTTCAGGAAAGAATATGAACAAGACTGTTTATGTATTTTATATACTGTATATACACTACCTGATAAAGGTCTTGTTGTCTATCAAAATTAGGAACAGCAATAACTTGACTTCTAGTTGATCATTTGGTATTGGAAGTGGCTTATATGAAAGGCAAAGGCCTCTATAATGTTCACATCTGGTGACTGGGCTGTCCAATCTTAATGGGCACCCTTAAACCTACCCACACCACCAAACCTGACCATAACCCAACCTCTATCCCAACTCAAGAGCACCACAAGTGTTCTCAAATGCATTAGGAACACAGTAAGTACATTGTATTTATTTTTTTATTCAAATACATAGTAGTTAAGAACACAATATAAAGTGGGACCTAAAAACCTTGTCCACATACAGTATGTAAAAAAAACAAAAAACAAACATTGAAAACATGATTTTCCGCTCGGGGTCTCTTTAAGGGTTTGCATCCAAAACAAACGAATAAGACTTTTGATAAAACAAGCCATATTACCACACATATATCTCAACAAATACAAAAGAAACAAAAAGCAGTCTCTACTACTGTTGGATTTAGTTAGCTACAGAGGGAATCTATGGAGTCTTACCTTTGCGATCTGAACACACCAGTTGAGCAGTAATTGGGAGCCGATGTTGTCTTTGTGTTCGTGCACGTAGTCCAGCAGACAGCCGTGGGGCATGAGCTGAGTGACCAGCTGTATGGTGGGACTCAGACAAACACCTAATAACCGCACCAGGTGAGGATGTTCCATGCTGGCCATGATCAGAGCCTCCTTGAGGAAAACAAATGAATAAATAAATAAACTCAGAGCACAGTAAATAAACACTACTAGTCAAATGCTTGGGATGGTTACATTTCATTCAAAATGTTAAAAAAAAAAAAATAAATAAAAAAAAAAAAAAAAAAAAAAAATATATATATATATATATATATATATATATATATATATATATATATATATATATATATATATATATATATATTTTTTTTTTTTTTTTTTTTTCAGATATTTTGACATTCATTTGTTTAAAATTAATGAATGAATAAATAATACTTTACTGACCCTAAACATTAGAATTAAAGCATGCTTAATTTTTGAAAGACCCTAAACAGGGTATATGCAGGAAAGGTTATTTTAATACCTTTTTAAGACTTTTAAAAGACCTTCTCAGAATATTTTAAGGCCTTATCGCCACTTCAAGTTCTAATCAGTATCAAACTTTTAACTTAAACAAATAGACAGATGATAATAAACAGTTGTAGCTAAATAATAAATCAAATAAATCAATGGAAAATAACCATGCATGCAACAAAACTCAAATAAGCTTGGAAGAAACAAAGCTTGAAAGAATAAATTATGCGGTTGTTTTCAGCAATAGGCTTCAGTCACTGTTTAAATCTTTCTCCAACCAGGAGAACGCAAACTTGCATTTTCCCATTTTGCCATCTGTTTCACTATGGTTTCGCTACATGTGAGAGTGTCACATCATCTTTCTGTGTTTGTCTCAAATTATGTGACATCACCTAGACAGAGGAGCTTGGCTGGACATGCCCCGGCCCGAACTAATCACATGGATCGAGCACCCCATTGTTAATATTAAGAGGACAATACATTTATATGCTTTTTTTTTTTTTTTTTTTACTTTTTTGGAGTCAAACACTTTGGACAACGCAAATTTTAAGACTTTGTAGAATGCAATTAAGACTTTTTAATACCTTTTAAGGGCCTTAATAACTTTGTTTCTTGACATCTGCAAAAGATGGATGATTTACCAAACAGTATTATTACCCATTTACCACTAATACAAGACAAAAACACTTTGAAGATGACTATATTAAGCTTATTAAGCTTGCTTAAACAAATCATATGAATATATCAGTTTAATGTGTCTCAGTACATCCTGATTATAGGCATAGTTGAGCCAAGATGTAAGGGGGAAAACTTGATTTTCTTAACATTTAGCTAGCTTTTTTTCTTAAGTAAAACATTAAACATAATTTTGGATAAAACTGGGATCTTTGGTTATTCAAAAACTGTAGGTCAAAGGCTACAGGCACTTTAGGAGATATTAAAATAAATAAATTGATGAAATACGTTCTTACTTTTATTCGCAAGAAAAGTGGCTTACCAGTGGTTTTGCCTGACTTTTATTATTATTATTATTATTATTATTATTATTATTATTATTATTATTATTGTCATTAATAATAATAATAATAATAATAATAATAATAATAATAATAATAATAATAATAATAATAATAATAATACTAATAATAATAATAATAATAATAATAATAATTTTATTATTATTATTATTATTATTAGTAGTAGTAGTAGTAGTAGTAGTAGTAGTAGTAGTAGTAGTATTATCATCATCATCATCTGAGTGCTAAATTGCCCTTTTACAAAAGCTAAACATATTTTAGAAGTCATTTAGCATGGGAACAAAATACTACTAAGAATGCAACTGTTTGGTTGCTCACTTTGTTCAGAACATCTTTGTGTTCAGCGGATATTAGAAATGATTTTAGAAATAAAATAAGAAACCTGCACAAATCATCTTACACAGAGAACCCACTTAGGATCTAAATTCCAGTTTATATCCACCATATTTAACCTGTTTTCCAAACAAAAGATGGCAGAAAAGGCATAAAAGTATCAGGCCAAAAAATAAAAATAAATAAATAAAATGCAGAACGTAAAAAATACATATAATTTACACAAACAGCTAAGGGGATAATTCAGAAATAATATCCAAACCCTGGGCCATAAGGTTATATTACTGCAATAAAGGAAGCCTCTGCCATTAATATGATTTTAGGCCTTAGAGGAATCCTCTTACGTTTGTTTGAACAGTTTAAAAAACTAAAATTGTGTGCAGCACACATCCCACGTCCGCAAACACACACACAAACCCATTATCTGAGCACTACATAAAATTACACACTTGGCAGTTATATAATGAGCATCCACGCTCCTGCTATTCTCCAGCTGCTGAGATGATTGCATGAGAGAATGCTGCTCGCCCAATCAACAGCGGGGGTCAGCGTCAACACGTCTGATCCGCCTTCACGCGCTTCTGTGCTTTAAATGCAATACGACTGGATCTGTTCGTCTGCAAACCCCTAAGAATATTCTGAGAGTGAAATACCCATTAACACTGACGAATTGAGGGAAATACCTTATGTGTGGGAGTCATGGAGAGGGCACTGTAATGCATGCACATTTGAAGAGAAACATGCAGAACTAGAATCATAATAGACTGACATCTAAGGGTGCTTTCACATCTGTGGTTCGGTTAATTTGGTTCGGACCAGGGGCAACAAATGATACATTGTTGCATTGTTGTGCTGTTTTTGGGTCCTTTTTACACCACACTGATTGCTTTAGTCTGAACCAGTTGAAAATGCAGTCATGTGACAAAATCCACATCATTCATTGGCCAGATATTATTGAACGTATTTCCTAAACTGCTTTTCGATTGGTCAGAATTACATGCCCGTTTTTGAATAACGGTTGTTAGTTTCATTTAGCTTCAGTTGTTCATTTATTGGGAATTAAAGTTTTTTTTGACTAGTTTTAGTCTTAATTTTTTGTTTACTAAAATATCTGATGAACACTCATTCAGGATTAAGATTGAGTAAATGATAGCAGAATATTAGAAATTCCTTCAGAAATAAATAGGAAATGTTTATGGCTCAAATTAGACAGAGAACCTGCATATGATAAAAATTCTGGTTTACAGCCAACATATTTAACCTGATCTGGTCCAAACAAAAGATGGGAGGAAGCATAAAGTATCATGCCCAAAAATACAGAATCGAAAAATTACATATCATTTTTTTGGAACAGGAACAGGAACAGGAACACATGCACAAAAATAACCTGTTTTAGACTTCGCTCAACATGGGTGTAAGAGGGCCTTTGGTAAGTGTTTCATAGTCCTTGCATCATCTAAAAGGATGGGCCAATTCAAGGTTTACATGCATTTTTCCTTTTGAACTACTAAAGAGCTGAATATTCGCTTAGTGGAATTACACAAACTAAAGCTGCAAGCCTTGCAACAGAGTGACACTCACATCCATGAATTCCACATTGGCTTTGGGGCCTGTCGCTTCGTTCAAGATCTTAATGGCAACAGGAATCTTCACAGTCTCACCCTCAGGAACCCAGATGCCCTAAAATCACACACAAAAAGATATTTCTTTCAACTTCATGTAGAAATTGGAGAACTGAAGGTAGGCTTTTTTCTAAGATGTTCAGCACTGTTCTTGATGAATGTCTAATGTGTTTGCAGTTGTGAGGGTGTTTTGATTGGTTGCTAGGTGGTTAAAAGAGACCATGCTCTAATACCTCCTTCAAAGTATGTCTATTGGATATTTTCATGGGTTTTGATCACTACTGATCTGAAGATCAAAAGTTTGAAGTTGGAAAAAATGTTTTAGATATTTTTGAGAGTCTCTTCTGCACACCAATGCTACATTTATTTGATCAATATAATACTATTGTGAAGTATTCTTATAGTAACAGTTATTATAAACAACTGCTTTCTATTTTATGTAATGTAATTTTAGTATCTTTATAAAATGGCATAGCTAAATTTTCAGCAGTCAAAACACTACTCTTCAGTGTTGAATAATCCTTCTGCAATCAATCTATTGTTCTATTATCAATGTTGAAACAAGTCTCTATTAAGTTTTAACGCTACAATGGCACAATGATAATGAACAATAGGTAGTGCATTAAAGGAAAAATAGAATGATAGAGTACAATTATAATGTCAGATGGAAAAGGGGAATGATAGCTCGTATATAGACCACAAAAAATCGATAGAATAACAGATAGAATGACAACAGAAGGAGTGATATATACAACAATACAATGACAAACAGACATACATACTAATATCATAGTTAAAGGCAGACTTCTAACTTTCTCTTGTGAAATTTAAAATAAAAAATATCCCAGGTAATGTTTTACAGAGCAAGAAAATCTTTTTAAAACTAAAAAAAAAAAAGGTGGATAAAGTTATGGCATTCCATAGCAAACAGTTTGTGTGTCCCATATTGTAAATCCCATATTGTAAATAAGAATATGTCAATAAATCAATTTTGACAAAAAAAAAATGTCAGATAGAACCTAATTCTAAGGTGACGATATGCAAACACTTATAATTGTAGTATATTTTTTTCAATTACTTTATTTTTGCAACATTTTTTAAGAACGGTAGTGTTAATAACTAATGTATTTTATTATATAACTAAATTTAATAGCATAAAATGACATCATTTTGCCATCATGGCAGTACATATTATTCACTCGTTATTTTGCAAGATACTAATATTAAGTTTAAAATGCAATTTAAACAATTAAAGGTGCAGTACGTGATCTGCCAAAATGCAATTCGGTTAGCATATTAGCTTTGGACGGCAGGGGAGGAACTGTGTTTCAAAGCCACGCCTCTTGATATTGCGAACGTGCCCACCTCGACACGAGACACACAACAGCTGTTTATAGTGTAGTTCATGTCATTCGCCAGTTAGAAGGGTATGTAGTTGTTGGTTTGGCGGCGTGCAGGAATTTCACTCATTACTAAGCCACGCTTTACATGCTATTTCAGAGTGAATATTCAGAGTAGCATGGTAAACAATATAGGGAACACGTCACAGGCTGTCATTGTTCTGTCATGCTTTGTTGTTAAACTAAATTAATAAATTATGGATGCTGTAAAAGAACCTTATGAAATTGAAAATGCTCACATCAATCTTTCACTAGGAGATTTTAGTGGCTGGCCAACATGTCTGTGCATAACCCATTTGTAACAACTCAAACTACATCAGTGTAAAGCTAAAATTGTTTTAAAACAGAACATTACCTGTCTAACGGCGGTTATGACGGATACGCGTGAACGGAGATGCGCAAAAGTCAAAATTTGCATTTGTTGAAAGGCAGTTTGAGCTACTTATTGGAAATATGGGGGATGTCAGCCCAACAATATTTAATTGGATGAACATTTTTTTTAGTTTTATGCCTTACCCAGAATATAAAAATACATATAAATACATTTTATATTTTTTTTGGGTTACCATATGGTCAGGTTAACGATAGTGGGTGGATGGCTGAATGGTCAGGTTAACGATGGAGGGTGGGTGGGTGGTTGGATGGTCAGGATTAAGCTGCGGTCACATTAGAGCTTGAGCATTTGATATTCTGTCGTGCGGCGCTGTGAAAAGGGGCGGGATTAAAAAAGCTAATTAGAAATTTTAAAAAGCTAGCGATTGCACCATGTTTTAAATTTCTGTCCAGAGAGGTCATGTTTTGATCCTTGATTGGTCTCACGCAGTCAAGTGATGCGATTTCGCAGTTCAGAGTTCACCAAGCTTAAACTTTGCACCGCAGCAACCTGCGAAACTTAATGCATTACCCTGCGTTTCTGGTCTGACACATTCGCGTGCATATGAACGGAAGTCTATGGGAGGAAAAGCCCAGAGTGATCGTAGCTTTATCGATGGTGGGTGGGTGGATGGATGGTCAGATTAACGATGGCGGGTGGGTGGCTGGATGGTCAAGTTAACAATGGTGGGTGGGTTGATGGATGCTTAGGTTAACAATGGTGGGTCGGTGGCTAGATGGTCAGGTTAACAATGGTAGGTGGATGGATGGATGGATGGATGTTTAAATGTTGGATGGATGCATGGATAGATGGATGGATGGATGGAAGGATGGATGGATGGATGGATGGATGGAAAGACAGAAATCATCTGAGCAACATTAAACATGCAGCAAAATATATGGGTAACATTGATCTTTCTTCGATTTTCCTAATTTCCTCCTCTCTGATGTCATTACCTTGTAGACAGTGCCAAAGGCTCCGGCTCCCAGGATCTTCACCCGTTTCAGCTCCGTCTCTTTCAGAATGCGCAGTTGGGCCTGATTTGGGGCTGCACCGCTGGGGGTCAAAGGCTCCACCAACTGAGACACAGAAAGCAAAGAAAAGGCAGACACTGTCAAAAGCATTCCCAATCAATCCGGACAATCAATGAACGTTCGGCTATAATTCAAATAAACTCAAGAGCCCAGACCATAGTGTATGAATTACATGTAATTTATTTAGTCTTTCTGCGCCATTATGTGTCGCATATCAGAGATTGGGAGTTCAATCAATGCATAAAAACCCCTGGTGATAAAGGAACTATTGAAATGCAATGAGAGAAAGAGGGCCAGAGATAAGAGGGAAAACCAAAGAGAGAAAATACAGGAAAGAAAGACAGAAATGGAGAAGGTTAACCTGATAAAAAAATATGAAGGGAGAGAGTGTGTAGGAGAGAGATTGGGAAACGTAAGAGAGAATGAGCGATAGAGAGAGAGTGTAAATCAGCCATTCTATGGACCCTTTGCGGCATCCCCCAGCTCATCACAGCCGCCTGATTAAAAAACAATAGCGCTTCTTCATTTAAATGGAATTGTAAATCAGGATCCCGGACACAGAAGGCGGAGAGCCAGTTGAGGGGACGAGCAGAGATTCGGGAGCTGTCCATGCAGGCGGCGCTGAAACACACATCAGGAGCTGTCCTTGGTGCTGAAAAACAGCACCAGCAATGTGGAACAACTCATTTTGGTGACAGTAGCTATGCTTCCATACGGCTGGTTTGATATACATTTTAGGTCATCGCATTAACAAAACAAAAGAAAGGAAACATCACGTACACATACATTTTGTGCTCCATTGCATACATTCTTAAATCAATAAAAAGTATATATTGTACAATATAAAAATATAAAAAATATATAAAACAATATAAAAAAAACTGCATAAATAATACAAACCTGTATAATTTCCCAATGAAAACCATGCAGGTCAAAATGTTTTAATCTCAGTAAACTGTTTTATTCATTCATTCATTTATTTATTTTTTTATTTATTTGAAAGCAATTATAGCAGTGTTCCAATTTATTTATTTATTTATTTATTTATTTATTTATTTATTTATTTATTTATTTATTTATTTATTTATTTATTTATTTATTTATTTATTTATTTATTTATTTATTTATTTATGTATTTATTTATTTATTTATTTATTTATTTATTCATTCATTCATTCATTCATTCATTCATTATTTTGATTTATTTGATCAAGCACCTGCTTAAATTAAACTTCCTTGGGATGTGCACACATTGACCTTCTTTTCATTCATTTTCTTGAGATGCTAATTAATAGTCATGTGATTTTGACTCAGCAGATGATGTGCTTGGATAACTACCAACCAGTGGACTGCTCTCATCGCACAACTACTCAAATTATTCAGCAAAAAGTAGAGCAAAAGGTGCATCCTCAAAATCATTTTGTAGTTTTTTTTCTCCTAATGTGTTGACAAGCTTCAGACACTGCCCCCAAACACAAGATAACATGACCATGTGTGTTACTACTATGAGCATTGTCTGAGGTGCAACTTATTACAACCTACAAAATTTAAACTAAATATTATAATTGTTTAGTTCTCTTTATTTTTCGTCTTTTTAAAATTTGTATTTAACATTTTCTATAATATATAAATTTGGGTGTATTAGCTTTTGGACCAATATCTTAAGTTATTTTGTTCCAGATTTGGCTTCAGTACTGACTAATCTGATGTATGTGCACAAATATAATATTGCATAGTTTACTATTAAAAATATTCATTTAAAAATAGATTTGTGAGTGGTGTATTTATATATATATATATATATATATATATATATATATATATATATATATATATATATATATATATATATATATATATATATGATGAGCCCTGTATATTGTTTACCCAGAGTGTTAACATGGTCATAATACAACAAGTAATACAAACATTTAGTTTGGGCTAGCTTTTGCAGCAGGACAATGCTTTACAATGCCCTTGATGGGTGAACATTAGCCAGTTATGGAGTGTCTTTTGTCTCTCCAGGTGTGAATTATTCATGACCGTTGTCACTCCCATGTATACAGATAAGATGACCCACAATAGAATTTAAAAATGTAAATTATTGTAATGTTTTTTTGTTCTTTGTTTGGACCTTGTTTTAGCTACATTTTTTTTTTCTCCAAAACCAACTATCATTTTTGTTTTTCTAAAATACGCAAGCATGTACATCGATATTTCTCACATATTATTGTAGCACAGTTTGTGCTGAATATATATATATATATATATATATATATATATATATATACACACACACACACACACACACACACACACACACACACACACACACACATGTATGTATTTATGTATGTATGTATGTATGTATGTATGTATGTATGTATGTATGTATGTATGTATGTATGTATCAGAGGGTTAATAACACAGAAAATACTATTTTTATTATTCACATTTATTATTACTTTTAGTGACAAATTTTATTCAGTTGAACACATTTAGTGTAAAAGATGTTTAATATACACTTTAAAATACACTTTTAATTTTGCGCATAAAGTAAATTCACAACTTGGGCTGGAAACATAGCTAATGGGTATATGGGAACATTCAAGATGATTTGGGTTGTTGGCACACAAGATGACATCCATTTTTACACATGCGTGCCTTCTGATGTGTTATGCGTGGGCCTGCTGTAGATTACTGTCTGTGGAGAGAGTTATCCTCTTTGTTTAATGCCTAAGGCCATATGGATATATGCACACATGAAGAGGAGGGGTCAGAACCTTCGGGTAAAGAAACTGGGGATCCTTGTGCAACCTGCACTTTTATGAACCCTCCACCCACATTGCAATATGAAAAATAAACTTTGATATTACAGAATGGATAGAAAGAGAACGAGTCAATGAAAAGGAAGGACTCAAATGGTAAGCATTAAAAAGAAAATATAAGACATAAGTGAGGCCATATTCATGCTAGCAAGGACATGATTTTTGATTAATCTTAATTTCATTAACACGTATCTCTTTAAAAAGAGGTCCAAACACAGGCTCTTCTTCTTAGCTTAAAATAAATTAAGGGCTCATGAGATTTATGCAATCATCAAAAGCAGTCTTTTATGAAGCTAAAGAAAGTTATTATTAAAATCTTAATTAACTGGCATTTTCCATTGATAAGGTACAAACCAGTGTCTGGTGAACAATTAAGTATGGTTAATGAAAGGAAGCAGTTTAACCTTTGTAGAATACTAAATGGCAACATCAGGTCAAATTGAATAACATCTTAGCTTTTTTTGCATTTTATTTTATTTTATAATGAAGTTTTCTGGGATTGTTCTTGTGTTATCAACACAACTCAATTAGGAATTAACCGAAATAAAAATTCTGGGCCGAGCCTGAAAATTCTGGATGCATTTGTCCAAAAATCTAAACTGAATGTGAAAAAGGCTTTGTAACAATTATATACAATGTAATATAATATATTTATAATTATAATAATTAGCAACTTTTTAAATGTAACTCAAAAAATGAAACTACACTGATTAAAAAAATAAAAAACAAAACAATAATTTAATTTGCAGCAAATAGTTGACAGGCGTCATTTTACTAGTGGTGCGATGACAGCACAGAAACGCTATTTCAAGAATCAAGAGCAAGTACTGTATACCCCATAGAAATGTACTGTCAGTGCAGGATTTTAGAGGATTTTGCTTAACCATTAAGAATGCTTACTACAATATAAACACTGCTGAGTACAGCAACACAGCGGCAATTTTCGGTGGATTCTTAATTTAAATACAGTCTAAGATTTTAAGATCTTAATCTATTTTATTTATTTATTATTATTTTTTTTTTTTTACAATTTATTTGTTTGCCTATTATTAACTTTTGAACAATTTTCTTACTCTCAAGAACTTCAATACAATATTAAGGAAACATATTAATCTGATTCATTTAAAATATCTATTGCTATGTTATCGTGAAAGTTTGAGTTTGTCTAATACATGTGTCATCTCAATAAATAAATAAATAAATAAATAAATAAATAAATAAATAAATAAATAAACACAGTAAGCTGTTTAATTTGAGGTTGCAATTTATAATGCATTTTACTCTTTTTGTAAATACATTCATAACCATAATCTTTTTTAATATTTAAATAAAATGTTCTTTTCTGTAAGTCTTGTGCCGAAACTGATCTGAATGTGATCTAAAAAGGTGAAAATTGTAAAACAAGCACAACATAACAACTAAACCAGCACAGGCTTCTTTCTCCACAAAATCTAAATTGAATGAAGAAATGACCTCTCTCATCTGCCCTCACTGCTACTTCCTATCAGACCATCTCAAGAAACACACAGAGAGCCATGGGTCATAAAAGCTGCTTCTCATTCCTGATTTGCTTTCAAGTTCCTTTGGGTTTTCAGGCCCCATGGAATTGGCTGAGAGGAAATGATCGGTCTGTTTTCTCAATCCAAGCTTAAATACAAAAAAAAAAAAAAAAAGAGTAAATAACAGCAAAAGAAGATAGACCATGCCTAACCTCGGTCTCCAAGAAGCGCCTCAATGCTCTCTTCTTCTTGATGCTTTTCCTCCTCACTGATATGGCAACACTAAGACCTATGATGATCACCACAAACAATCCTCCAATAACCCCTGCCGCAATAAGGGGAGTCCTAAGGGAGACACACAAGAGAAAATAAACATTAGCCATGAGCAATAACAATAAACTAGCAGGTAATTGGTCCCACATCACTTACACTAGTGCTTCTCAACTGGTTCTGCTTCATGACCAAGATATTTTATAGCAGAGTTTAAATTAAGAAATGGCATGAGACGTCACTTTATTTATGTTTCCCAATTAAAAGTTTGAAATAATTATGATTTTGTAATGTTTATGATGGTATGCAGCAATACTGTAAAAGATTATTGTGGTGTAAATCCTGCTTCTTCTTACGAAATGAGGGCACCCAACTCACCCCCCTCAAAAAAAAAAAAAAAAAAAAGCATATATATATATATATATATATATATGTGTGTGTGTGTGTGTGTGTGTGTGTGTGTGTGTATGTATATAACTTTTTGGTTTGTTTATAAATACAAAAAAACTATTTATTAGAAAATAAAAGTATTATAGTTATTATCCAATTATCATTATAAATAACAGAAATTATTCCTAAATGTAACTGGAGACAACTCTGTGGAAAACATCATTTTATAAATATCATTTACGAAATCTTTTGCTTGAAAACTAATTGAATTAAAATGAAACTCTATAGACAATAACATAGAACTCACACACACACAAAAATGTTTTTTTATAAAATTATCTGTTGTCTCATAGACTTGACACATGGCAAAGAATTAGGTCAAAAATTAGGTTACCTCCTTGACTCGTCGTCCCACCTTGTTGCTTCATACAAAAACACATACCAGTAGGCATGCTTATTAAGATCACCATCATATTATTCATTCATTTCATTCATTTTCTTGTCTGCTTAGTCCCTTTATTAATCCGGGATCACCACAGCAGAATGAACCGCCAACTTATCCAGCAATTTTTTATGCAGCGGATGCCCTTCCAGCCGCCACCCAACTCTGGGAAACATCCACACACACATTCACACACAAACTCATACACTACGGACAATTTAGCCTACCCAATTCACCTGTACCGCATGTCTTTGGACTTTGGAAACCCACGCGAAGGCAGGGAGAACATGCAAACTCCACACAGAAACGCCAATTGAGCCGAGGTTCGAACCAGCGACCCAGCGACCTTCTTGCTGTGAGGCGACAGCACTACCTACTGCGCCACTGCCTCGCCCACCATCATATTATTTAAACTTTAATTTTGTTGACTTGCAAAACTCACTGCCATGCAGACACCTCTGCATTAAAGGCTGTTACGGCGGTTTCACAATGCATGAGCGGTGCGTGAGCAGCAAGTAGCCTACTTTTTCGGCATGCATGTTAACCAGGACTCTCAGAAGAGCAGCGTGTAAGGGTCTAGCAGGAGCAGTGTGTGAGGCGCAGTATGGTTTTCTGTGCACATGCGGAAATGCCTCAGTTAGCTTTTTGAATAAACTACATTGCTTTCACCAGCGTTGGTTCGGTTGCACACAGAGAATAACGTCTTTATTTTGGAATTTTTATAAATACACTTGCATATGTCGTAAACCATAACAAAGCATTTACTGGGGCACTAGCGATTTTTACTGGGGCACGGGTCCATCGAAGCCCCTACTGTGATCTGAATATAACTCAGGTGCAATTCAATTTGTCCAGCGGCTTGGTGGGTCAGTAATTAGCACTGTCACCTCACAGCAAGAAAGTCGCTGGCTCGAGTCACGGCTGGATCAGTTAGCAATTTAGTATGGAGTTTGCAAGTTCTCCCTGTGTTCTAAGGAAAACCAGAGCACCTGAAGAAAACCCACACGAACACAGCAAGAACATTCAAACTCCACACAGAAATGCCAACTGACCCAGCTGAAGCTCGAACTAGCAATCTTCTTGCTGTAAGGCAACAGTGCTTCCCACTGCACCACTGAGCCGCCATACATCACAATTTTCAACATTATAATATACAAATACTGGTATTTTAAATTAGTTTAAGATTTCACAAAATTAAATTATTAACGTATTTTATACCCATGTGAGCATAATAGACCTAAATAAAAGACAAACTTATTGATAAAAAAAAGTTTAATTTATTCACATTTGTACTGTTGTTTGTTTATTTATTTATATATGGAACTTATTAAAACAGATCATGAACACATCCTGTGTGTATGATACATCTTTTATCAGAGAAACTACAAAGAAGGTTTTATTCTTTAGTCCTGGGATATCTTTTTCTTATTTTTGTCATTACTTTGTATGTTCTCCGCTAAAGCTGGCGTCTCTGCTTTTGTTCCGGTAACGTAAGGAATGAGGATGAATAAGTTTAGAGACAATTAGAGAATAACATTGGCAGTCTGAAGAGCTGCATCTTAATGAAAAGCCTGTAATGGGACAGCATGTGCTGTGGACTGTATGCAGTCGGCACTGATTTAGTCCTGCCGTCTCCAATGCTAACTGAATTAGGTCTTTCATTAAGGCTAAAGGAACATTTTCAGATGGAGATTCAAACCGAAAGCTCAAAGTACAGCCTAGAGAAAGATGATGCAAGATGACAGCAGTTGGAAAGGCCTTTTGCAGACACATCCAACCAAATATCTCTTTTCTATCTAGGACGGACGCTTTGTTCAGATTCCTGTTCATTTATGGGATATTGGCAATTCTCTGCCATGTGATCTCCACTGATCTCTATAGCTCTTTTGTTCTCCTGTTTGAGGCAGTAGTTTGAATATGAAGCTTGAGAAGTAGTTTATACACAATGTTTTGGTAAATAATGTGCTACAGGTTGAATTTCTTTATTAAAGGGATAGATCACACAAAAATGTAGTCTCCATTAACCTCCCTCAAGAGTTTCATAATGCTAAAAAGATCAAATATGATTAGAAAATGGAGGCGACAGCTTGCTGTGAGGTGAGGTGCCACCACACTTCCCATTAAATATATATATATATATATATATATATATATATATATATATATATATATATATATATATATATATATATATATATATATATTGCCCCCTGCTTATTTTTTCCCCAATTTTTGTTTAATGGACAGAAGATTTTTTCACCACATTTCTAAACATAATAGTTTTATTCACTCATTTCTAATAACTAATTTACTTTATCTTGCCATGATGACAGTAAATAGTATGTTACTAGATATTTTTCAAGACACTTCTATACAGCCTAAAGTGACATTTAAAGGCTTAACTAAGGTAATTAGGTTATCTAGGCAGGTTAGGGTAATTAGGAAAGTTATTGTTTAACAATGGTCTGTCCTGTAGACTATTGAAAAAATATATAGCTTAAAGGGGCTAATAATTATGTCCTTAAAATTATTTAAAAAAAATAATAATAAATAAAAACTGCTTTTATTTTAGCCGAAATAAAACAAATAAGACTTTCTCCAGAAGAAAAAAACATTACCAGACACACTGTGAAAATGTCCTTGCTTTGCTAAACACCATTTGGGAAATATTTCAAATAGAATACAAAATTCAAAAGGGGGCAAATAATTCTGATATATGATATACAAATATAAATATAACATACTGTAATATATAGTAAAACATAATAATTAAATATAAATGAATTGCTTTCCAAATAATATTTCAGAATATATATATGCAAAGCATGATTTGGTATATTTCTATACGATAAAACACAATGTCTTCTTTTTAAATCTTCTGACTAAACATGTTGTAGACACAGAATATGCACGTATTCCAACTGTACTTTTATTCATAAGTGTTAATCTTAATGCATGCATCAGATGGACATATTTAGAAATGAAATACCAATGTTGGATTTAGCAGCGACACAGTGGCTAAGTGGCTAGTACTGTCGCCTCACAGCAAGAAGGTCGCTGGTTCGAGTCCTGGCTGGGTCAGTTGGCGTTTCTGTGTGGAGTTTGCATGTTCTCCCCGTATTGGCGTGGGTTTCCTCTGGGTGCTCCGTTTCCCTCACAGTCCAAAGACTTGCAGTAAAGGTGAATTGAATAAACTTAATTGGCCGAAGTGTATGAGTATGAATGAGTCTGTATGGGTGTTTCCCAGTACTGGGTTGCAGCTGGAGGGCATCTGCTGAGTAAAACACATACTGGATAAGTCGGCGGTTCATTCCGCTGTGGCGAACCCTGGTGAATAAAGGGACTAAGTGGAAGGAAAATGAATGCTTTATAAATGTAAATTAATGATTTAGCATCTGTTAGGACTAGCGCTCCATCCAAAAGATCTATTTTTTATACAATTTAGTCCTGAATGAATAATTGATTGATTGATTTAGCAAATGATTGATTAGTTGAATGATTGAGTGATTGATTGATTGATTGCTTGACTGATTGATTGACTGTTCAAGTCTTAGAATTGTCTTAAAATGCTTTTAGAGACCCTTGATTTGTGTGTTTCCTGCATGTGAACAGCTCTATAAAAATAGTCCAGTACATTAAAACAAGATATTTGCCCTCTGTTTTCCTTCCAGTGTAAATTCGGACTCGTAAGTTTGTAGAATGGAAATGAAATCCCACCCAATCATGCGAGGACGGTGAAGCATTGCCCAGGCATGACAAGCGATAGACTGCTAGATTATCTCAGGGTGAGATGAGAATCTCTCCCGTTAATTCGATATTGATCTGCAGTCAGAATACAAAGCTTATGAGCCGCGGAGACCATAGCGAGTGCATACATTCACCCGCCTGAGCCTGTGTGAGTGTATGGATCCCACATCGCACTGACAATGAGCAGGCAATTATGTTGATGCTGCATTGCTGTCAGCAAGTAACGTGCCACTGCTGCATATTGCAGGGGAAGGAGGACAGCATGTCTGACATCTTGTTTTATGTAAGCTGCCATGTCTCCTCCAAATGTGTAAGAGAGATCTGGAGAGAAAGGTTTAGAGCGCAATGGTACCGTGAGGTTTAATGAGGACTTTTTTTTGGTGCAGATTTTTGTCACTTCAGGAATTGTAAGATAAGATGTAAACTGCTAAGTTATTTTTCATGTAAAAATCTATAAAGCCAGTTGAAGTCAGAAAGATTAGCCCTCCTGAATTAT